AAAAAAAAAAAAAAAAGACTAAGAAAAAAATGGTGCATAACAAAAGTGCCAGAAATAAATTCCAAATTATGCCCAAAAAAATTCCTGCACAGCCATGAGGCGTAAAAAAAAGATTCCTGCACAAAATAAATTGCCCAAACCTCCCCCCCCCCCCCCCCCCACTCCCAAATCTAATGGTCCGTCCCTAAGAAAGCAATGCAGGTGCTCGCGTGTGCCCACGGATTCAGTTTGATAGACATCATTAATTTCCGGATGTGAAGCCGATCCGCGAGTAACATAGATTTCATTTGTGAAAAAAGTAATTACAAGTAAGTTATATATATGCCCTACGTGCCACACAGGCATAGAAGATAATGATGATGCATGAGTCAGATGATGATGTATACATGACTCCCAATTAGCACCTATAATATATTATTATGATTCTATGAATTATTTTTTTGCAATGGCATTCGAATAAGTCAGTAATTCGTATGCCGTCTTTGTAACATTTTCGCTGTTAGATTTTCTTACATCTAATCTAAGCCAATCAGTCTTTGACAAGGGGCCTCTTTTGGGATCGCTATAATCAACCGAAAAGATGTCAGTTTTAGTTTTCTCTTATCTTCTCAAAGAAAAAAAGGTAAATAACACGCCTAATGAAATTAAACTCTAACTAGCTTTGTGTGTTTTAGATACAGCGAGTAAAGATGAAACGTCTTGAAAGTAATATCATCCTGTCATTCAATAGCATCAAAACTGACTTTTTTCTCAGGTATAGCCAATTGATGTTCTGTAAATTAATTTTGTTTCTGGTCTGCTTACTTAGTTTTGCCACCAGAATGACATCTTACTCGCGTTGCGTAACTTAAGGTTACGTTTAGACAAATTGCTGTTAGTTATAGGAGTAAAAAACGCTCTAGGATTGTCATCGATCACTGCAGTCGGTTGTTGCATTGCAGCAAGAAATTATTTAGACAAAGTTCAGGGTCGTAACCAGGGGGGAGCATAGGGTGCACGTGCACCCCCCCCCCATAAAAGCTTAAGGTCCGCTAATCCATCTCTTTTTTGTGTGTGTGTGTGTTTTTGTTTTGTTTTTAGTTTTTTGGGGGGGTTCTGCTTCTTTTGGTTACCTTTTTTTTCTTTTTGGTTCTGCAAATTATTGCCTGTACACCCCCCTGCAAGATCCCTAGTTACGCCACTGAGTTGGTAATAAAAAAACGATCGATGGTCCGATTTTATTCGATGTGCACCCTCCCTGTAAAAGTTCTGGTTACGGCCCTGAAATTAATAGAGATTTTTCCTCTATTAACTATGCTGACATGAGAAAATTAAATTAACTCTTATCCAAAATATCTGCATAAGATAATAAAAACGTGTTTTTTTTGTTTTTTTTTTCTTCAGCCAAATACATGTTCCTCAGTTTTGGATAATATAAACCGTTATCAGATATCTTATTCTCGTTTTTTGTTACGTGACTAACCCCCCTAGCTAATCTTTTTTTTAACGGCCCTTAAGGGATAAAAATTGACAAGCAAGCTAATATGTATTGAACAATTCTCGATAATAACTATTCTAAATCAAACAAAGCTGGTTTCTTTCCGACTGAAATGAAATGTTCAATTACCGGTTTTCGATCGGACATTTCAAAGAAGTTTCTAAAGTCTATCACGTCAACCAGTGATAATAACAAAGAACAATATGTACAATATTTGTTTCTCAGTGGATAAAGAAATTCAGTTTGTTCTTATTTACAGTGCATACAACTGACTCCATAAGTATCTACAAATCGTGCTGTATCTCAGAAGAGTGCTCAAACGGCCGTTTCACTAGAGAGGTCACGGTGTGCTCTGTATTTCATTCTATCATTCCTTACCGTCAAAGGTAATTAAGACCTAAAGCACTTTTGTTTTTCAAAAAGACGTCGGAAAGATAGTACTTTTCGAAGAGAATACAAATCGTGGAAGCTGGTCCATCATGTCCATACTGGCTAGTCAAGCCACCAACAAAACTCTGACCAGCAATACATCCACAAGGGCACTTCAAAATCCACCATGGATCATATCGATGTCTGAGGATTCAAGAATATCACTGATAGCTTGTTATTGTGTACTCTTATTGCTGGCTGTTTTTGGCAATTCTTCTGTTGTTGCTATTGTTTGCAAAAATCGACAGATGCAGACCACCATGAACTTCCTCATCGTCAACATGGCGGTATCTGATTTAGCAGGATCACTAGTCACAATACCACGTAAACTTTCAGTACTTTCAATTCTGTCATACGAATTTGATGCTCCTGACATCCTGGGAAAAATCTTATGCAAGCTATGTCCTTTCATTCGCGATGTGTCAATCACTATTTCAATAGAAAGTATGGTAGCTATTGCACTTGATCGCTTCTTAGCGGTGGTTTACCCAATGAGATCCAAACCTCGCATTCTCAACATGAAATTCATGATACCTCTCACATGGTTTGCTGGTTCAGCCATGTTTTCTTTAAACATTGTGTTATTTGAACTCAAATCATTTCAAGAAATTCATCTTTGCTTGAATGAATGGCCAGTCAGTTTTCTTATAGCACGTGAAGCATATTATGGAGCATTCATAACTCTATCGTTCATCGTACCGACGGTTGCCCTTACTGCCCTGTATTTTACTATTGTCTGCAAAATCAAGTCTCAAGCTATTCCAGGTCAACGATCATTGGAATACCTAGCAAGAAGACGAAAACAGAACACCAACATCATCAAGTTGTCAGCTGCAATAGTTCTGACCTTTTTTGTCTGTTGGCTTCCTCATCACACTCTTGGAGCTTTAATGACTTTTGTCTGGAAAGGAAAACTACCAAAAAGTGTTGGACCTTTCTTTGATATTATCAGTGAAACGATAGAATTTGTTTCTTTCATGAGCTTTGCAACAAACCCAGTAATTTGTTTGACATTCAGCAGTAAATATAAAGACTGCATGAAGAAACTTATTTTAATTCCAGACTTGTTTTCAAAACAGCGCCAAGGTGTCTTGAATGTAAATACCCAAAGACCAACGAATATTAGTCAAGAAATGATCACATTGAGTATGACTAATTTAACTGTGACCTAAAGGCGCAATAATTGGACAATTTTTGCTGCTACTGCTCTCGCATCAGCAGCGTTGTGACAAAAGTTACATGAGTGGTTTACACTGTGCAACGAAGACGCAAACGATTGCCGCACCTCGCCTCGCAACTGCTTATTGCACTGTAAGTTACACGCTGCAATGTTCCATGCAATCAGCTTTCTCCTTGCAGAAAAAATTGCTACGTGTAATCGCGCCTTAAGAATACATGCATTATTTGCTAGTAAATAAATACTTTATGCAGATATTCGAGCCAAATTTAACTATTTAATCCCATAATAAAATGAAGGAAAGGTACTGAGTTGCGGTTATCAACTTAGGGATTTTTCAACCTCCTATGGCGGGTATTTTCTGTGCTGTTTGGTGGGTGTGAGCAGCTGTTGTAACTAGTGATGCATGGCAAAATAATCGGGACATTTGCTACTAATTTTTGAAACTCGGTCCCAGACCCCCAAGGTTTACCCCTAAATTGTAGCAAAATGAGCAACTTTTTTCGAGCAAATTTCAGWTTTTCGTGTTGTTATTACTTACTTTCTCATAATGTACGGATTTCAACCATTTGGTTATGTTGCTATCTAGAATGTTCGACCGCGCGGCCATCGCGTTGGCGGATTAAAATTAAAATTTTATTCTTTGTCAATCACAAATTGACTAATATACACTCGGTTTATAAAATACTGGGATGTACTGAAGGTTTTGGTGGGAAATTCAACTTTTTTGGCGCAAAAGAAAACAACAGATAGTCAGTATCTTGTTTACGTCTTCGTTTGCTCCCTGGTTAGTTTGTCAAAGGTTCTGGTAAATGAAGAGAAATCCAATACCGAGGACACTGAAAACATAGTCGATAAGAAACCCCTGCATTTCTGAAATTACGAGCTTGTAGATACGATTCGTTTTGGTTTACTTGAAGGTTTTTGTGGAGTTATTCTTCTAGATATCAGAGAAAACCCTTGTCGTCTTATCGATTGACATAACTACACTTTGATGTTTCCACGGCAATCACTACAAAAATCCGTGGAAATTTAAGAAACGGTCGACTATGATTGCTGAAATTCGTTTCGAATGGAGCGATATTATAGATTTGCATAATAGAAGACGACCAGAGCAAATGTCGCGCTTGGAGAGGCAATTTTTTGGTATGATATGCAATTCAAGTTTACAAAACGACACACGGACTTTAGCATTCGTGACTCATTAGTGTTAGATGAACATATTTATTCCAACTCTTTGTTACAGTTATTGTCCGGCTCCGCGAACACTGCAGTGGCCCAAAAATGTATGGCCCAAAAATGTTTTTTTGTTTTAAAAATGAAGTAGTTACATAAATTTTGCTTCTGCCGAATTGGATAACCTTTGGTGTTTACCTTAGTAATTCAAAGTGGATATTGAATTTGATCTTTCGTCATCTTTTATTTGGAGGGGGGATTGCCGCCCTGCGTTGCTCTGACTGATACTAAAAGTGTCTATTCCCTGAGAATGGTTGTTCTATCCCACCTGTTATGCTTCTCTAAGCCGTTCATATCATCTAATGGCCTTACTCAGAAAACTAAAAATATCAAGCGTCTACTGGTTTACTGGCTTACTGGTTTACTGGTATCTGAAATCGATTTTAGGCCCCTTCTAAAAATAACATATGAAGGTTTGGAAAATACAACGAGGTAACTTAATCGACAGCCTCTCTTTATTTCAATCTATCGGTGACATTATTTTTGAAATTGTTATTGTAGGACTTTAACCCCAACATGATATTTCTTTATTTAATTACCCAATGTACAATTCTAGAAAAATTTTAATAAAAAAAATTCTAAAAATATGACTTAAAAAATAATCGTAATTTCTATTACTTGCTTTCAAGCTTTGCCTTTTAAAATCAGGCAGATGCATCACATTCTGACTAATTAAACCACAATGATAAATGTGACAATCAATGGCAATGATATTTATCTGAGTGCGAGTTTTTATAATGAACAGCAAATTTAATATAGATATTGCAGTAGATACGGAAGCGTAAGGCCTATACTACTCAGTTTAGCTTGAGTGATGTTCTCGATAAGTTCATGGTTAGTAGAGAGCACCACAAACAAACTATGATAAAGTTAGTGAAAATCTTATGGCATGAAAAACGTTTTTCGGCCACAGAGAAGAAAATGTTGATGTTAGATCGAAATTATTATTTCTTAATGATTAGTAATACTTTTCTGTAAATATGACTCATTATGACCACTAAATATAGCGGCAATATGAAAAGCAAATTATTTTTCATTTTTGTGTCATAGCATCAGAATAAAATGATAATGTTATCCACTCAATATTCTACTGATTTAGCCTAATTTTTAGTAAAAAAAGGACACCAGCTATGAAGAGCTTGGGTATTCTTGGTTTTATTCTCCTAGTTTTCCAAGTCGCTGCCGACTTAGAAAAGGTAGGTAAACGCTAATTGCGAATTAATCGTCGCTCAGGATCTAAATTAATTTTGTGTAGAGTATTCATGTTTCCGTGAAGGTTTATGAATTTCGAACCGAATTATTTGTATTGTTGAATTGTACATTTTGTGCATTTTGTGTGAACATTTTGTTACTGAAATAAGGCTAAGCCTGAGTTAGTGAGTCTGTATTCACAGCTATTGAGATTGTAGAAAAGATGGAAAGATAGTCACCAAATGAAAGTTCTCATTCGTATCCAAAATGTCTACCTGTGGTTCGCAAATTCGTGTTTTAGACGAATGCTTGCATTAGTTCAATGGCATGGATCCAATGTTATTAGTTTTCGAACACTTTTTGCTTTCATTTAAATACACTTTCAATCACAGGTAGCGCAAGCGCGGAATTAGCCGTGAAGATCGTTTTGTCACTGAAATTGTATTAAGTTGATGGTTAGAAATTCGAGGGCATCGAAAATGTGCTTTCAAAGGAGCTTCGAAAATTACTTTCAAAATGTTTATAACAATTACACTTTGATAGTATAATGAGTTGTGCACTGCTTGACAATCTTCACTACCCCGTTGTCAAGGGCGGATCCAGCCAAAATTTTATGGGGGGGAGGGGGAGCTAATTGAGCTTCTTCCGTCAACACAACGGAAAACAATAAAAAAAGCATCTAATTCTTCAGTTTTGTTTTGCTATGTTTTCTGCTGAAGGGGGGCTTTAGCCGCCCCCTTTTTTTAACAGCCCCTCCTTAGCCCCTCCCCCTGGATCCGCCCTTGATTGTATAATATTATGAACTGGAAAGTCGTGACCCTCCCTTGGAACTTAATATCTGCTAACGTCTATCAAAATAAATTGYCTTTCTCTTAAGATATGCTTTTATTTTTTTCTGTTCACGCTGAGACGACAAATAATTTTTTACATTTCGAAAAGTGGATGTAGTAAAAATAATGGTGATGATTATGATGATAGTGATAATGATAATAATAACAATAATAATAATAATGATGTTGATGATGGTGATAATAATAATAATAATGAKGATGATGATTATGTTGATGATAATAATAACAATAATAATGATGATGATCGTGATGGTGATAATAATAATAATAATGATGATGATGATAATGATTAATGCTTAAGAAGTACTCAATATGGTAACCATGGTAAAACCTGGTTATATAAGTACTTTTGGCCATCTGCCCATCTGATGCCCGTCTTTCAAAACAAATTTGGATTATCAATGCCAGCGACAAAATGGCTAAACGCGCTGTGATTGGCTCAAACAAAACTGATAAAGCGCAACGCAACACGGGGCTGCCAACTCAGCCAAATAACACCGTACAAAATAGCAAAACCATTACGTCCTTTGCCTGGCGTGATCTAGCCGAGACAACAGTCCCAGAATGCACCGCAAAAGCCAAATGCCCGTAAAAGCTTAATCTACAGTATATATTTATCCTATCGTATCTTTGAGTCTTTCTGTCGCCAGGCTAGTAAGATAAGATCTTACTTCCCGTTTAAAAGTGGCGAAGTCTGACAGTTCTTGACACTGCTTAGTAGGCTGTTGAATGTTTTGGCAGCACCGTCTTGGAAAGTTCCTTTAACCGATAGTTTCGTTTCGTCAGAAGATCTCAGAAGATCTCAGATGTTGTTATGTGAATACTTTTACTCCTGTGAACATTTCAAACCACTTTACACAAAATATCAGCACCATATCCAAACAATGTTTTCCATTTTTCTTAGGCTGGTGGCAATAACGCTTTGCACAAAAGGGGTTGGAACATTGGTTAGTAAACAGCTGCTTTTCTATTCCATCCTATATATAGCCTTCCCTACTTTCTGGATACACGAGAATATTTGACTTAAGGTGGCTGACTACTTTGGTAAATAATAAACAGAAAATGGAAAATTGAAACTATTTTAACCTGAAAAAATTCAAAAATGCAAAGGAAAATGGGGTGTCCCGAGCTTGTTTTTGAGATAATCACTCCGGAATGACATGCGTTTGTACGATTTTGGAAGAAAAACAGCGAAAATCAAGCGCTGTACAAAAAAAAAAAAAAAAAAAATCATCAAAACGAAACTAAGGAAGAAACACGAGTAATTTTCTCCGAACACGTAACTTACACTATATTTATAACATACTGATAAAAGTTGTTTTAATAAACTATTGTGGACAATGGAAAAACTTTTTTTGTTCAGGTTCTACGGTGTGCAAGTTATTGTAAAAATTGAGCACAAAACAAACAGAACAATTTATTACATTGTTCTGATAAACAGAATTGTCTTAAACTTTGAAAAATAATGATATATTACCTGTTATTCTGGAAAATAACAAACAAATATATAGAGTCCCGAGCAAAATTTGAGGGTTTGCCCTCTTGAAGTTCAAAACGTGCATGGTTCTTAAAAATAAGGAAAAAAAAGAAAGAAAAAGAAAAAGAAAAAAAAAAAAACGTGAAGATTATTCAGTGGTTTTTGAGCGCGCGCACACCGTGGGCTCAAATCGAGTAATGAAAAGTAGTCAGCCACCTTTAAAACATGAATTTGATTTTGAATTACGGCGGAGCTCCTGTATGCGTAACCCAGTTAATATTTTCATGGCTTTTCACCGGATAGAAGGAATCTGTTCTTTCGCTGTACAGCAGGGGATTTCACCTGTTATCTCAGCTTGATATAACGTCACAATGTGACATTCATATGACGTTATATTACGCTATGAATGGTAGATCAATTTCTGAAAATTCCGCTTTTAGGCAATGCCTGAAATTCATATTTGTATATTTACTACATTTTTGCTCTGCCGTCGAGTGCATTARCGTGGAGGTCATTATTATGCACTTCTTTTAACAACCACAACACTGCAAAACGTAAATGAGAATCTGAAGTACTATCTTATTTTACCCTTAGCGATATTTGTCCTCTGTGAACACCAAAGAGGTGTCTTGAGATGTCCTGGAAACATGAGGCTGAAGATACTACAGGCAAACTACGGCCGCACTGACCGATTCATTTGCCCTAAAGGTCCCATCAGAACAACTAACTGCATCTCGTCCTTCTCTTCGCGTCTGATTCGCTATGCCTGTGACGGCCGTAATGCGTGCCTCCTGGATGCAACGAACGGAGTGTTTGGTGATCCGTGCGTTGGTACATTTAAATACATTAAGATTTTCTACAAATGCGTTTAAAATCTCAAACATGAAAGGAGGCCCAACCAATAGATATCTGATTGAAAACGGCTAACTGGTTAATGGAAAATTAAGTAGAGTAATCAAAACTAGAAATATAAGAATCTATACATCGGATGGCTTCTTATCCAAAGGCTTAACCATGCATGTGACCAACATGTTGTAACACTAAAAGTAGGATTAAATATTGCATTACTTACCAAATTCTATTGTAGATTTTATTTAAACAGGGCCTGCCCAAAAGGAAAGACCTTTCCCGAATTTGCTTGGATTATCACGAAACAATGGTTTCAAGTCGAGGCGGGCCTTTAATAAACAAAAGATTCAAGGCCCGCCTCGACTTGAAACCATTGTTATGTGATCATCCAAGAGACTCGAACTTTTTTTAGATTTCCATTCTGCGATTTAGGTAAAAACTGATTCGAGTTGGCATTTTAGGGCACTGTGGAACAGTTTCAGGGGACAAAATAGACGCTGGCTTCGACTAAACAAATCTCTTAAAACAGTCTCACAATGCACTGCAATGCCAACTCGACACTTGAACTTCGAAATCTCTAAATCATTTTATTACTGAAAAGGGAAGTTTGGAGTAAAAACTTTCGAAGGTGAGGAAGATTAGAAACCCCTAACTTGTCCTCTGGCTTCTGGTTCGGGATTAACGGTCTAGGTGACCAAGCAGATGAGAAAATTGAAACAACCACTGGGAGAACAAAGACTACTGATAAAATAAGCTTTTACTACACTTTGAATAACTCTCTCCCTTCTTAATCGATAAAAGCCCAACTAAGCGTTGTGGTAAATCTTGCATTTTGTGCCCATTCCTCCTGTTGTGCTAAATACTAACGGCGTAAGCGTTCCTTGTTCCACCTCCATGACCCTGTTGGCATATTGGCGTATCTTTTCACTAGCTCTCATGTTGCCTGTACACTTGCTCAGGAGTCTGCTCACGGTAGGAGTCTGCATTTGGGTGGCATATCTGGACATTAAAGAATGTAGCTCTCTGTTGCTCCCAGAAACCTCGGACGTGGATGCCGATACGGGCGTCGGGGGCTCTATTCACACCCCTGTTCAGAGTCTCTCCAGTTATCTGCTGAATAACCGGCTCCACCTCAACATCACTACATACAGTGCTCAGCAGTTTAGCTTCCAGATCTCGAAGCTCGTTGTGGCGTTGTATCACAAAACCACCCCTCCTGCAAATCATCGCATGGTCAACGTCACACGCACGTTTTCTGCAAGTCGGAGATTTCCCAATTATATCTTATCTTGATGGCGTCTCTAAATTCTCGCTTGTTTAGATCGTATCCCAACTCTTTTATGGATATTACAGTTAGCCAGCTCGAAGCGCCTTTTTCTGACGCCAGCTCTACCGCTCTCAGAGATCTTGGGGTTAGATTGTTTTGAATACAAAATGTAAATGTCAGTGTCAGTGTATACATATTTAGTTATATATATATAACTAACTATATGTACACTGACACTGACATTTTGTATTCAGAACCTGAGGATGATGCAAGCTGCATCGAAACGTTGTTCGTTTCTTATACTTAGTTTTGTAATTATTATTATTATTATTTTATTTATCATTATTATTATTATTTATTTATTTATTTATTCCTTTTTCGTGCAAACTTCTGAAAAATCAATTCGAATCTGAATATATTAACCGAAATGCCTCAGTATACTGCTACTCTTTATTCCTTACCACTTATCACTGACCATAATCAACCAACGTCAATAATATTTGGAAAAATCAACGTGTTTTGACCAATTCTGAAATATCAACAAGGCGTTTTTTTAGTCATTCTAAGATCTTCAAGATGGTAAAGGGTTCATTTCGCGAAACGTGAATTGACAGTTTTTATTCAGTATACATCGTAA